TAGGATTTATTTTGAGCCCTTAGTCTTCTGTTGTCTTTGGGCTCAAGGTCCTTTACAAAGCAAGAAATGATGAGCAAAAGGATACACTATAATATTCTGTAATTCAGATAAAAAAATACAGTAACTTAAGTAGCAAGGACAAACTTAAATTACAGTAGCTGATAAGTAACACTGCTTTGTTTTTCAGTGTTGTCAATAGCATTTTGTACTCCTATCTTTTTGTAGTAGTTTAATATTTGAAAGATAGGAATTGTTAGTGCAAAGCATTCAAATAGCATAATAATTAAACTGTATATGATCCCAGTCCATGCATTGACTTTTGCCTTGTATTAATAGACAGACCTTTTGCTATTTAACTCCAACAGGAGGTGTCCCTGCCCATGATGATGATCCTTAAGGTCCCTTCCAACCTAAACCATTCTATGATTCCATGATTCTATTTCTTTTACAGATGTTGGCTACGGAAGAAGTTAATAAGGCCCTATGTGACAGATCTCAGATGTCAGTTGTTGACATGAAAAATTCAAAAGAAAAAGAGATAAATAAAGAAAAACCTATCTTCGGACAAAGCTTAATTTTAGGTGATCGTGACAAAGAAGAGCATATGTTTCAATCACAGCCTGGTCGCAGCCACAAGAAGCTTGTAAGTATCCAAAATAGATGTATTCTTTGGACTTGCATGTGATACAACAATTTGATAAACAGAAAAGCTTTTTTTATTTGCACATTTTCCCTTTTTTTCCTTCTTGCACGCATTGGATTAACTTTTTTTTTTTTTAAAGCAAGCTGAAAGTTAGATTTTGTGGTCAGGAGACAGCACTGTATGGACTTTAATCCTGTAAGTTTTAGAATTTCCCTAATGACCTAATCTTTCTTTGTACACACAGCTAATTCTCTGGCCTAAATATTTAGGGTTGGATTTAATTCAGTGTGAAGACTTGTAATGTTAGGGGTGTGATTCACAACTACAAGCATCTGGTGCTATTTGGTTATCCTGGATATCTTTGGTGTTTGTGGCAGGTCTTCCAGCGCTGTGTGGATATCTCAAATACATTATGGCATCTCAAATATTAATAAATTCCTAGATTAAGGCAACTAGATTGTGCTCCAAGTTTGTGTTTGCAGTTATCTTCATGTGATTTAGGTTCTAAACTCCCAGACTTGAATGACAGTTTAATTTTTTTGGGTCACAAATATAACATACGTTGTTCATTTTAAGATTATCACTCACCCCTCTGTCTCCCAGCATATTTTCTAGGTGCACCACCTCACCCTCCCTCCCTTGATAGTCCATTCCATCTCATGACAGATTTTCTTTTGCTTCTGGCAGAACATCAGAATTGTTCCCACTCATCTCATAGAAAATGGATACTTTCTATTTGCAGAGCTAAATGACCCAACTTTCTTCCTTTTGAAAAGTATCCTTGTTGGGAAGTTTTTATCAGACCTGTCATCCTAGCTAAAATGGAATCGGTTTTCATCCTGGCAGTCAGCATGGTCAGAATTCCTTCTAAATTCCATGAACCTAGCTATATTAAATTATATGTCTGAGCTGAAGTAGTCAAAATCATCCACTTGGCAGCAACTGTTGTCCTTCATCTCTTTTAGTATAGTATTTGCTTCTTATATTGTCATTAACATTTTCCCTGCTGTGTTACCAATATTATGCAATTTAGTGGCCTAATTTGGTTCTGCTGTACTTAAAGGGAGCACTCTGTCACAGTCCATGGTAGTGTATTATTATACCTATTGAAGAAGAAAAATGTCTTTCCTTAGCAGGTGTCAAATCTTCTGTAAGTATAAAAAGCACCTCTTATGGCTGATAATCCCTATTGAACTTTTTTCTTCTAAGTCTGTGACTGTGTTGCAGGAGATGACTGAGCCAGGAGATAAATTAAGTTGAGTTTCTACACCTTATCCAAGGTTGCAAATCTGCACAGGTTGGATGCCAAATGCAACCTGTGGTTTTACATTTCAGAAATAAGTTTTTCAGACCCTTCACAAGGTCCCTTCCCCTCTCTATGTGCAGGGAATGGCAGAGTTATGAATATCTCTGTATAGGAACCTTTGGAAACAGATAGTAGTTTTCATTAGAACCTAGTTAGAGATATGTTTAGTGGAACCAACTTTTCAGGAGTATATTGGGCCTACAAGGAAGCTGGGTGGGGGGTCAGGGTCGGGGAGTGTGTGTGTGACGACACTTTTTACAAGGGTCTGTAGTGACAGGACAAGGGGTAATGGGTTTAAATTGAAAGTGGGGAGATTTAGTGGCATATCAGGAGGAAGTTCTCCATGGAGAGGGTGGTGAGGCACTGGGACAGGTTGCCCAGAGAAGCTGTGGATGCCCCATCCCTGGAAGTGTTCAAGGCCAGGCTGGATGAGGCTTTGAGCAACCTGGTCTAGTGGAAGGTGTCCCTGCCCATGGCAGGGGAGTTGGAACTAGATGATCTTTAAGGTCCCTTCCAACCCAAACCATTCCATGATTCTATGATATTCTGAAGAATTTTGACTATATTGTTGTGATTGCTAAAAGATGCCTCTACACTATCTGTATGAAGAATTCCAAGACCCAGCTCCAGGTAACTGTGAGTGTGTGAGATCCTGGTTGTAGTCTTTTGCTGTCTTACACATACTTACAGATCATCATTTGACAGCAGAAGCAGCTATTTATCAATCATGAGGGTTCTTCAAGATGTGTAGTCCACCTTTACACTCACTTCCTCTCCCATGCATCACAGTTCTCACGTTGTCCTAGAAATGTTGACATTTCATACTATAAAAAAAAAAAAAGACCTAGAGCATGATCCATCAATGTGAGCTGCTCCCATGTAGAGTTCTACCATTAGTCAAATAAATATAATCTGCAACGAACATGGCAGTTTGTTTCATGTTATGGCAACTACTGGTAGTACAAGCTCTGTACTAGTAACTGAGAAATCTTCAAACGCTGTGCTCACTCTCTACTTTAATCACAAAAAGAGGCTAAAGATGCTAAGTCAAAGAGAAAAAAGTATATTGGTTAGAAACATTTTGGTAGGATATAAAAGCTCTATAAAAACTTGGATGGTTTATTTCCCTATTGTATCCCTAGTTTAAATCCCAGTGTGTCAGAGGACTTTTCATCACCAGTTATTTACGTCAGTAAAGATAGATGATGTGGTTAGTCAGTAGTTCCCTGTCAGCTGGTAGTTCTCATTATGTCCTCCCTGATACTAGAACCTTCCTTCTTTCTGTTTTTCTCTACTATCTCACCTATTCTATCTACTGTCTCACCTATTCTTTGCAGCCCGTGTTTTACAATTGTCTACCTAGTCTTTAAAAAGTGTGTGTGTGTGTGCGTGTGTGTATTAACGTGTCATGAACTGAATCTTTGATAATAATTCGCTGTGTCTCATAAGATCCAGGTGTTGGCCTGTTTGTTCTTCAGTGCAGTCAGGAACACTGAATTTAGTATTCTGTAGCTTCTAATGAACACAAAAGTAGTCCCTGGTTCTAGGCAGTTCAATATTAGTATAGATCTTGATAGGCTTACTAGGGCTGGGAAAACTGATAATTTTAATTCACTGAATACATTTTCTTAATATTAAATAAATATTATTTCTTAATAATCAATAATTCATCATTAACAGCCAATAATTTGTGCAAATTGATCATCAGTGTTCTTTCTGTATGTACTTTTTGTCAGTCACTGGAAAGATTGAATGATTTTTTCCTTTGCTCCACTATTAATGATTCTCTATTTCTTCTATAATGGCATTATTATAGTTACATATTTTCAGAAGGAAACAACTTCTTGAAAAATACTACTGGTTTTGATGAAATGTCCTTTGCCTTCAAAGGCAAACACATGATATTGTTGTATCATTTTGGTTTACATTCTTTCAGCAAGGTAAGGCTTCATTACAATGTGTACTTAAAAAAGCATATTTATCTTATGCTGCACATAATTCTTATATTGCCACTTATTCATATTCCCCTGTTACATTGCCTTCTGTTGTCTTTCTGACCAAAGAGGCAGATACTGCTGTCCTATGAATTGTCAATGGACTCCATTAACGATCCTTTTCGAAGACAGAGGTTAATGAGTGCAGCCACTGTTATTACCGATAATTTGCGTAAGTCATTCTGTAGTTTTTCCTCTGGTGATTGTGTAACTTGACCTAAGAGATGAACATGTCACAAACAGTCAGCATTATTTTAAAAGTCACTAGGGGAAATTATGCTGCAATCAAATGTAAATTTCTGTAAAATAAATAATTCTCGTAACTCTGTAACTGTAACTTGCAATTACCAAGGGTAGATCATGCCTGACAAACTTGATTGCCCTGCACAATAAAATGCCTGGGGTTTGTGGAGGAGGGGAGAGCAATGTTTTTCATTTACCTTGTCTTTAGTAAGGCTTTCAACACTGTCTCCCACGGTATTTTTTCATCCAAGTTGGGGTGTTAGGGTCTGCATGGGGGGACAACCAGCTGGAGAAAAAATAAATGGTTGTATGTTTGAACTCGGAATGTCTGGTTCTGTCTGGAGGCAGGTAACAAGTGGGGTACCACAGGGGTGTTTCCTAGGACACACTTTGTCCTAAGTGACCTGGAAAGGGAAGAGAGGACTTGCTCTTGAATTTTGCAAATGATACCAGACCGGGGGAGGATGCCACTGGATACACTGGATATAAGAGCTGCCATCTAGAGACACTTAGGCTGGAGAAATGGGTCAACAGGAACCTTATGAAAATTCAACCAGAACAAATGTGAACTTCTGCTTATCTGCAGGAGTCTCTTGCAACAATGCAGGCTGGGAGCTGGTGGGCTGGGAAGCAGCAGAAAAGGCCCTGTGGGTGCTTGTGGACAGTGAGCTGAGCACGAGCCAGCACCATGCCCTTGCAGTAGCAATGGCTAACAGAATCCCGCACTATATTACAAGGAGCATGGCCAGGAGAAAAAGGATTATCATCCTTTATTAAGCACTTGCGAGACCACATACTGTGCCCAGTTTGCCTTCCAGCCCCCCTGGTGCAAGAATCACATTGAGTTCACTAGGGGGCTACCAAGTCAGGGGCTGGAACACTTGCCCAATGCTGGGTTGGTTCCGTCTGGATAGAAGGTTTTGAAGGGAAGTTAATATCAGTCTTCCCGTGCGTAGGAAGACATTGTCAAGGAGATGGAGCAAAGCTCTTCACAGTGGTGCACAGTGGGAATATAAGACAACAGACATTGAAAGAAGAGAGCTTTGAACTGTGTGGAAGGAGAAACTTCCACCGTGGGGACAGTCAGACAGAGGAACATGTTATGCAGTCTCTGACCTCATGGCTGACCATGCTTTGAGTAGTGGTTTGCACTAAAGATCTCCTGAGGTCCCTTCCAACTTGACTTATAACCCTATCCTCAGCCATGGAAACCAAGATATGAGGGACACTGTTCTTCATTTTATCCTGGGCTTTTTTCAACCCATGCTGCATCTGTGACTGAACTGATGCAACTCCCAGAAAACAAATTGTCCGTTTCCCCAGAGACAGTTACTTCTCCTTAATGCAGATCCTTTGTCATCCTTCAATAGTATAATGAACATATGAAGAGGTGGGTAATATCACATGTTTCTATAATGATGAGAATAGTAACCTAATGGTAACCTTTAAATAGCTTGTGATTAGTTTGTGTAGAATGAGTGAAACAATTTTTTTCAATGATGTTGTCGTTCTTAAATGAGATTGATTTTTCTTTTCAATCTTTTCTGTGACTGATTGTCTTTTTCTTCATACTGTGAAATCCCACATAAGATTATTCATATGTTGCTTTCCCTCTTTGTCATTTAGAACTGCAAGAGTCAAAACTGAAATGTCCTCCATTACTGAAACGTTTTGCTCAGAAGTATCTAATTTGGAATTGTTGTCCATTCTGGAGAGCAGTCAAAGAGAAGGTGAAATTGGTAATTTTGGATCCATTTGTTGATCTCTTAATCATGGTTTGCATTATCGTGAATACCTTATTCATGGCTCTGGAGTACCCTGGCATGCGATACATTTACCAACAAATGATTTTTGTAAGTGACAAGGTAAGTTAAGTCTATGTTAGAGCCAATATGGAGTTATAACCCCATATTTATACTGGGAAAGTCCCATAAGTAGACATACTTTTTCTGACTTTTTCCTCTTTCCAGGTCTTCACCCTGATTTTTACAGCAGAAATGGTCTTGAAAATCATTGCTTTAGATCCCTACAACTATTTTCAGCAAAAATGGAATATTTTTGATAGCATAGTTGTTATGATTGGCCTAATAAGCTTTAAAGAAAATCTGTCATCTTTCAGGCTGGTAATTATATCTTTATTCTTTTTTAAAAGTACATAGTTCTATCAATTTGTAAATTATTACAATGAAATACCCTCAAATCATTTTACTGATGAATATGTTAAATTAGGTCTCTTTGATAGTGCATAGTAAGCCAACATGAATGTTTAATTAGGATGAATATTAAATTATTATTAAAGAATACATTCAACAAGTTTATTTTACTGGTATATTGGATACTACAGACCTCTGAAACAGTTCACTCCTTGGAGATTTGACCTAGCAGAGAGTTCACTGGTTCCCTGTTAGGTCTGTACAGTGGCACTGCTCCCCTGCATTTCAGATCTTCAATTAGTAAAAGATATTATCTGAGTGTTTCCATGAGCTTTAGGATAGCAAAGGTTCCTTCACAGCTTTTTCTTTTGAGCTGAGGTTTGTGAAATAACACAGCTTTCCTCAAGGCTTTCCTCCATTTTAGGGAAAAAAGAGGAATAGCTCTGAGGTGTCTATGTTTAACATTACTTTTTGCTTGCATTCTTGCTGTGTATTTAGAATGCTAAATTTACTAATTAAATCTAACATTCTTATAGCTTTTCAGAGTCATCGCACCTAGAAATCCAATTGAATTTGGTTTCATCCTCTATATCATGACTAGGAAATTTTAAGAGCCCTGAATACTAATTTGACTAAAAATGTCCTTTTTCACTTATGAGGGTGCATAGAATAGATCCCTCTGGCTTCTCAGATCCTATTTTAACTCTGTTGGGGGAGAGGTAGAAAAAATTGTTTTTCTAGTTATTATTTGATTACATATGATTTAGTCCAAAATACTGTTATTTCATAAGTCTTGTCCAAGTACCTATCAGCCACTGGATTATTATTACTATTATTGGTATTGGTATTAATACTAATAGAATTACACATGCTCATATCTAACTTAGCACAAACGATCTGAAAGCTTCCTTTGGCAGTTCTCTGTTCTCAGTAACATTACCCATCTGAACTTAAGTACAGCGCTTTTGCATCAGAACAATTAAAACCCTTTTTTTGTGGGAAAAATGATGATGCTGGTACTGAAGTAAAGAGAGCGTGATAAACTCAGGGTCTGCTTGCTATGTGTGCTGTGCTATCTATGCAGTGTTGGCCACTCACGTTGTTCTCTTGTGTTTTACTTACAGCTCAGGATCTTCAAATTGGCAAAGTCCTGGCCAGCCTTAAATACACTTATGAAAATTATTCTGAACTCAGTTGGTGCTCTGGGTAACCTCACCCTGGTTTTGATTATCACTGTATTTATTTTTGCTGTAGTGGGAAAGCAGGTTTTGGGCAGCTATTATGAGAATAATTTCTCTAAAATAAGCACCAGTGAGGATTTACGTTGGCACATGAAAGATTTTTGCCATTCATTCCTGATTATATTCCGAATATTATGTGGAGAATGGATTGAAACCATGTGGGAATGTATGGAAGTGGCTGGAAAAGGGCTATGTCTTCCCATTTTCTTACTAGTCCTGGTGATAGGAAACCTGGTGGTGAGTTTCAAGCTGCTTTTCAGTCACTACTGAATACATCCAGTTACATTGCCATTTTTTTTGTTCTGAGTTTATCTTTTCAAGAGTATTAACACTATTCTCTTTTCTGGATGTTACTTAATACATGTTTGTCTTCTTTCTTTTTAAACTTTTTTCCCCGCAAAATACACAAAATTATTTCTTCTACCCAGACTGTAGAAGTGCAGTGCTTTTGATAATTTGGTGTCTGATTTCTTAACCTTTTTTGTTGCTAGCATCAGATAACCAAACTGTTCAGTGCTTTAAATGCTTATTGACTCACCCTCATATTATCAACAGTGTACAGTACCCAGATTTTCTGGTTTGTGTAACATATACTGGATCTGATGTATATATACTGGAAGATGAAGTCTTTTTAATCAGCTTGGATTTTTGGATCCTTTTTGATGGTGGTGTTAATAAAATTTATTTTTGCCTGGTGTTTTTCAACATATTTACCTTGTCATACAATATGAACATCAGAGCTTGTGAAAATATATCTGATATACCCAAACCCTCACTTCCTTCCTCTTTTTCCTGCCTTTCCTTCCAGAAGGAGCCATGTCATGCTATATTAATATTCCAGTATAATAGTAAATAATTTAATTGTAGTGCTTGATGAAAGCAATATTGAGATGTTTTTATCTAAGGAGTGTTTTTGGAAATGTCTTTTCTGTTAGCAATAGTGTCTCTAACTTGCTTTAACTATTTTAAGGTGCTCAACCTATTCATCGCCTTGCTGCTGAGTTCATTCAGCACTGACCCCTCAATGGGACAAGAGGAAACTGGACAAATGACTAAAAGTCAGATTGCCATTGCACGGATTCACAAGGGCCTGAAGTCTTTGAAAGACAGAATTTTGGATCGTTGTAACAAAAGAATGAAACGAAGCCTCAAAACAACAGCCAGAAAGAAGACTCTGGTGAAAATTTCTGCCAAAGACTTAGAGGAAAATAACTATGCCATGACAGATGTCAGAAAGGATAAAGACAAGAATTGCTTTGACATTGGGTATTACAATACTGAAGAGAGTTCCTCAATAACAAGGAAATATGAAGAATTTTTAACCAGTCATAGTATCTGTGTTCCCATTGCAGTAGCAGAGACTTATACTGATGAGGGTGATGATGAGCACAGTGTGTGCCCAGAGACAGAATACAGAAAAGAGGTAAGGAAGATTAATAATTGAAAAATTATTGTAACGTGCATCTGCAAATACAGTCTCAAAGACTCAACAGTAAATGTTATCTCTTCTGTCATTTCTGCCATTTTACTTTGTGTTCTTCTAGTAGCTTCAAAATGCAAGAACTACCTAATATTCTTGGTTGTGCAATAAGATGTTCAATATCTTACTTAATATCCACTTTTCCATCATTCTTCTCCTTGATAGCCATAATTCTGCGTGTCTGTTTTGTTTCCACTTTTCTCTGTTGATTGCTAAATGAAGTTGGTTCAAGAAAGACTCTCTTCATCTCCTTTGCCTTACAGATGGCACCAGGAATTTTTGGAAAGCAGGCCTCTTGTGCTTTTATGTTGCCTCTCAGTTGTATAGAATCTAAAGAGAATGCAAATAAAAGCTTCACCCTAAAAAAATAATTTCTTAATTTTTTATTTAAATCCCCTATACTCCCCTATGGTACTTTGGAGTCCACTTTATCTCTCTTGGTTTTGTTGTGTTGGGCAGGATTAAGCTCAAGTCTTTCTGCATGTGATTGAGGTATTTATACTGCCATGACAGTCAATAACAGTGCAATTCATTTCCCTTGAATTACGTAGACATTTAGGGATATTTGAGATACTTCAGGTGTCTATCACACCCACATGTGACTGACAAATAAGGAGCTATAGGAACCCTTTTTGGCATCTGGAGGCCAGGGGTATGTAGAAGCACCTCAGATGGCACTAGGTATCAGCCACCATTGGATTACTCCATTTAGGTATCTGAATCTCAAGATTCTAGATACTACTCACCTCATAGATGTCTTCAAGTGCTGGATTATGAAGTGCTTCTTTTGAAGTGCTGGATTATGTCATAGGGCTTCTAAATGCTCCTCCAGAAACGTGTCCATCAGTTCCTGTAAATCGCGTGCTGTATTTAACTATGCCATGTCTTAGGTACCCCTAAGTATCTTAAACGACACTAAGCAATGCAGGGCAAGCAACTGAATTTAACGCCTTGTGTCCTCACTCAGTAGTGTCCCTTGCTGCACGACTGTATTACTTGTTTGTTGCCCACGTTCACACTTCATGTTTTCTCCCATTTTGCTTTCTTGATTATTTTTTTCCTTGTTTTTACTTTCTTTTCTTCTCTCTAATGATGTGTTACCCTTTTAATAAAATGGGATTGTACCTATTTCATTTCCTTTGAGGAGGGTGATGTGTCTTAATGAAATTCTGTTTGTTACAGCGTCATTACTTTTATGTGATATGATTGCTTAGAAAGGATATGGATGCTGCTTTGAGTATGATGATCTCTCTGCATGAATGCATTTTAGTTCAGAATCGCTGGGTCATCCTGTGAGATTCTTATTCCCATATAAATGCCTTTTATTTCACTGACAGTGCTGCAGCTACGTGCGTGAAACATCCGGTAGTAGTTTCAACGCAGCTCAGCGCACAAGGACCTTAAGTAAATTTCTAGAAGACTGTCTTATTCACAGGCAGCAGTAATAAGAAGCAGCAGACTGCAGTATGCCTCCCCTGCAATCTGTTGTCAGAAGGTGAACAAAAAAGCTGTTAACCCTTCTCAGACCTGTACTGAAGGAAGTACCAATAGAAGCTGGGGGGGACTTTTTGCAAGGGCCTGTAGAGACAGGACAAGGGGTAATGGGTTTAAATTGAAAGTGAGGAGGTTTAGATTAGATATCAGGAAGAAGTTCTTCCTGGAGAGGGTGGTGAGGCACTGGAACAGGTTGCCCAGAGAAGCTGTGGATGCCCCATCCCTGGAAGTGTTCAAGGCCAGGCTGGAGGAGGCTTGAGAGCAACCTGGTCTAGTGGAAGGTGTCCCTGCCCACGGCAGGGGGGTTGGAACTAGATGGTCTTTAAGGTCCCTTCCAACACAAACCATTCTATGATTCTATAAGCTGGCTTGTACAACAGAAGAAAGAGCTGTTTTGCAGGTTCTTCACATAAAGCAAGATAGAAAGCCTTTTACAGAAAGTAGCTTATGATTTTCACTTCAGTATTTTTATGAATTTCTGCTTATTACTCCATCTACCACATTCAAGTAACAATGAGTTTTTCTAAGATGTTGCAACCGTGCTTTTCTTCTTTGTAAGCAAAAGTGGTGGTGGAAGCGTGTGGCAATGTGGGGTTTAGCTCATCTGAAAAACACATCCAAATGTGTGAGCAGGAAGCTCAGGTGGAACACCAGGCTTTGATGACTATCCTGCAACTAGATTAACTTGTTATAGTGAGTATTTTATGAGTGTCAGTCGTGTTAGGATCATGATGCCACAATATTTATATTTATCATAACAGGTATTTGAGGACAAAGAGCAGTTACCTAGTATTATGCCATGGCAGAAATGTGTAAAGCAGGTGCTATTTTTGGATGGATTAACTTATGGTCAGTGTCTATGGGACTGGTGGGATCCATTTTCTCTATTTTTGGTCACAAGAGGAGACATCGTAAGTGCAATATCTTTGGATGAGTTCTCAAAGAAGCTGACGGTGCTGATCATCTGAATCATCTGTGGCTACTTTGCCATACATTGAAATACGTTGCCCATAAACATTTGATGACAGGAATTCTTTCCCCACTGCAGTGGAATCTGGTATTACTTGGAAAGGACTGAGAGCTGATTAGGATCACGTAGGTCTTCTGCCTGTAACTAGAAACATGAGACTGTTGGGCTCCAGCTGCAAAGGTTGCTACTGAGCCAGTTTATCAGAATTTAATGCATTGGATGCGGGAATCCATCGGTGTGATAAATGTAGATCTTGAGGAATGATGAATTTCCACAGTATAACCGCAGGACCACAGCATTTGAAATCGAGGAAGAAACCATTCTTTTACAGGCCTTTTAGGGATATCATTTAATTAATTTTAAAAAGACAAACATGATGAATTTTGTGGATGCTTTAGATTCTGATAAAGATTTTTGACTTTTAAGAATGACCGTCAAGAAGGAAAATATGGAAAATCAACTGTTTTGCATTATTTCATGCAGGGAGGCAGATTAAGACATAGAGAGCAGTGCCGGAGTTCAAGTGGCTTCGGTCAGATTTCTGAGACTTCTGAAACTGTAAGTGGTTCAGAAACACAAAAGAAAGAACAAAAAGAGGTAATTATAACTTTTATCATCTTGTGGAATATGCTAGAGGTGAAAATTGTCACAGCAGTTCCCTCATTCAGCAATGACAGGACAAGCTGGGCTTTTCCAAAGAGTAGCAAGTAGAATCTCTGTGAAGGTGGTACAACTCTGTAATGGTAATAATAGTTTAGAGCATGAATCTTCGTCTCTCATAAACAGCCATGTCTAACAGTTTATCTTAATATATTATTTTGTACAAAATCAGTAAACAGAAATTAATCAAGAAACACACTTACTTTAAACATGTCTGATACATACTATTAATTTTTATAAGTAATTCTGTTTGCTGTCAACCACGGACACAAAAATTTTTTTCTCTAGAAAAGGTTCCCATAATAACCATGCTTTTTCTGGTATAGAAACATGGCTTGTTCTAACACATTGCAGTTTTGCATCCAAAAAGGTGAAGAATCATAACTTCCCTCTAATGACCCAGAAGATTAAATGGAAGTTCAGCAGCTTTCTGGTTTATTACCTCCAAAAGTCAATCAACTTTAGCATATTCTGGTATTAGATAAAGTTGCCAGAAGTTTTGCTTATTAGCTATTATTTAATTATATGTATATAAAAAGTTAATATTAAAAATATTTCAATGCCCATGAATTTAATTAATTGCTTTTTTGGTCTGGGTTGAAGGTTGCCTAGGACCTTAAGTTAGTGCAGAGCAGCATGGCTGCCAAGAGAAGCACTTCTTTCTTCTGACTTTCATTCTTGTCTCTGTCCTCACGCCGTCCCTTTCCATGTCATCCAGGGCACTTACACTTCAGGGCTGATAGATCACTTCCTTTTTCTTTATACTTATTTTCCTTATTGTCCTTAGTTTTATAGCTGCGTAGGTTACCTACCAATAATTACAGTTCTTTGAGATGTGTAGACCATGTGTACATTTTTTTCCTGCTGGACCTTCCTGTCTTCAAGCCTTTTGAAACAGTGTTTGTATCTGAAGAAGAAAAAAGAATTGGAGTGACATGGAGAAATCAAAGATTTCTGTAAAGTAAATCTGTAGCATAATAAAATCTCTCCTAAACATTTTCCTTCCTTTAAGTCCAATGTAGATGACTAGAAGAAACCTATTAAACTAAGATAATGGAAACAAAGAGTAGGGATTAGCTTTTTCTGTCGTATTATTTGTAATTTTATTTTGGTAGTTCTGCAACATTAAGATAATTTATACACTACAATTTTTTTTTTTCCCTGTGGGAGGAGCTGATTGGTTTAATTTATTTAACATCTGGTAGCCTTATTAATAAAATGCAAATGAATTCTCTAATTTGCCCTTCTCCTGTGCAGAAATATGATGCTGGTAGCTATTCTGACGCCAGCACTGTGGATCCAGTTATTCTTTCAGAGATGTTTCCCAAGCCTAAAGTGTCACACCTACCTAAGGACTGTTTTGCAGAAAGTAAGAATATTTTATGTATTGCAGTAGCACCAAATGAAACAGTATTCCAAGACATTTCCAACTTGGCAGAAACTGTTTGCCCAAGACAGTTGTTTATAGACATAAAAACTCAAATAAATGTAACTGAAGCCAGCCCAGAACTGGAGCAGGGTTGGGATGCCTGGACACAGGCATTTAGTACCATTTGAAATGCCTAAAATGGTTTTAACCCCTCTGTTTAGGTAGCAAAATGCCATCTTTGGAGTGTGATTCAGTCTGACATTGAGGCATCAGACTGTAGGTGTCTGTACATGAGCAAAGGGACTCGAAGCACTCTGAAGGGGCAGCTGGAGGTCAGTTGGGATATGAATGTCAGTACCTGGTATCTTAAATGGCACTTTAACTGAATTTGTCAGAGCTCCTAGTACAGTGGATGAATATCTGGTGAATACAGCTAATGGAATTCAGAGGACTGCACAGCTCATCCCAGTGGGGACACCTACCTACCTTTGACTGCCTGAACGGCTCCATAGACCCCATTGGCTCTCATGCTTCAAACCTACTGCCTTTATGGATTAATAGAGAATTGTGTTTGTGGTGCAAACAGTGAACAGATAATCCAGTTGTAACGTCTCTGCAGTTCAACCAAGTGAAATAAGCAGTAAAACTATTGATTTACTAAACCACTAGTAGAGTAATATCTCTTTCCAAAACAAAGAGAAGAAATTCAGAAAATAAGATAAGCAAGTAATGCCTTTTGTTGTTGTTGTTGGGTTTTGGTTATTTTTTTTTGGGTGGGCAGAAGGGCTTGTGGGCACAAAAGCTTCTCTGCTTTTTCCATGTATGAGTTTCTCAGTTAAAAGAGATTATTTTGGCCTACAAATTTTCTTTTAGCTTTATATCATTTCAGCCACAGCATCACCCCATAGGTAAAACAGCACGTTGTTTATATAGGCTGTAGAAGCTCATTTTAAGAAGTGTTCACTTTTTAGACTCCATGGAACCAAAATGCTGTTCTTTCTCTTTTCAGGTTGTGTTGAATGTTTCCCATGTTGTGTAGTGGATATCACTAAGTTTCCAGGCAGAACTTGGTGGAATTTTAGAAAAACCTGCTACAGAATTGTTAAACATAGCTGGTTTGAAAATTTTATAATTTTTATTATAATATTGAGCAGCGCAGCACTGGTAAATTTAATTTAATTTCTCAAATTTTGAATTTATGATTGTCAGTAAAGGAATAGAATTATATTATTATGTTTAATTTATTTCTTCTACACTCACACTCCTTTTTCCACGGAGAGAGAAGAGTCTAATAAATGTATCCCTTAGAAGTTATATGGCTCTCCCCAACTTGTGTAAGAAATTTAGATATATGGAATCATAGTCTTCATATTTCTTCATGAAACACAGTTCTTCAGACACTCATGTGCTTAATTAGGAGACTAACTCAGGGTCTGAAATTACTTAGGAAAGCTTAAAAAGGTACAAGTACTTCTCAATTTGTGAAACAGACTAACTGCTCTGTAAAAGTTTAGATTTAGAATTATCCAAATGTTAAGATGATCACAATCTAAAAGTGAAGATACCTGTAAACTGGCAGATGATTTAATGGTTCATTGCTACTCTGGTTATATCCGTTTCTACTGCAGAATACAGGACATTTAATTTCATTTGAAAACATATTCACTAAGTCTACTAAAAGTAATTTGTTAAATAAAACAGTATATAGTGCAGAAAATAAGCAATTAGTGTGAGTGTGATCTATATGGTAGATGTCAGAATTTTCCAAATACAATTTGTCTGCATTAATTTTAGGTTGTCCACTGAACCATAGATTTGAACTCTCTGCTTTAAACTTTTTGTGTGAAAATCTCCAAGGTAACTCCCTGGGATTCCCGTCAGGACTCCTCTGTACACATGGGGAAAGAAACTGAAAGGAAACAGTGGTTACTTAATGTACTGTAGGATCTGGCTAAGCTGAACACAAAACTACTTGGTATCCAGATGCAAAATAACAAAACAATAACAATTTCTGTTCATCAAAGATGAAAATCTAGGTTTTTGATTTTAATAATTTAACATGAAATGGTTATGATAAGCCAAACTGTATTCTTGTGAAATTTAAAAATAATCTTCCATAAAACTACTCAACTGTTTTAAATCTGATTTCTGAAATTCCAGGCATTCGAAGACATTCACCTGCAGGAGAGAAAAAAGGTGAAAATACTCCTCGAGTATGCTGATAAAATATTTACCTACATCTTTTTTATGGAGATGCTTCTAAAATGGGTAGCTTATGGTTTACACAGTTATTTCACAAATGCCTGGTGTTGGCTTGACTTCATAATTGTATGTGTAAGTGTTTATATTCAGCTTGTCTTACATTTTGATTTTTTTTAATATTTTCTATATAGAGAACTGCATGTAAAATCTGATTATAAATAAACACAAATTTTTCCAAAAGCTGAAAAAAATTGCAATACTAGCATTTCAAAAAAAGTGATATGAACTGGTTTTGACACACAAAAAAAAAAAAAAGGAAAAAAGAAAGAAAAATGTGTTTCAAATAAGAATGAAATAATTCTATGTTTTTAAAATATTGGGAAAAATTACATAAATCTATATTATGATAACTTTGTGTATTTTCTTCATTTGACGTACTGGTTGAAGATATGTAACATTCAGCCTATGGTTGCCTACTGGCACAAATAAAATAACTTTTTGTATACCATTTAATAATCTCCCATTCAATTAATACAGCTGTCATTTGTTTCCTGGGGACTAAATACTCCTTCCGAAGCCACATCACTCTGTTCCTCTGGGAGTGCCCTGAAATCTCTCAGGACCCTGAGGGCATTGAGGCCTCTACGAGCTTTGTCAAGATTTGAAGGGATAAAGGTAAGGGTATTGAGGATGTGTGTGCATATTTCGTAATAGTTGCATTTGCAATTTTTGTGCAAATTACACCTTGATTCCCTATTTTGGGGCTTGATGACATTAAGATTTTTCAAATTGCATACTCAAACCTTATGATTGTTATTTTGAAATAACACTTTCGCCTACATTTATAAGTACCTATGAAATAAGGAAATTGAATTATAATGTAGTACCACAAGTCATTATATAGAGTAATGTGAACATCAAAAAATTTTCTGTTTCCAGTTTCAGTGCAATTATCAGAGCAAACTACACAAGAATTTTGTTCAACTTGTGGTTTTCTAAAACCCATTATTTGGTTTATCTTAGGCATGGAAACATTTCATCCAGTGTAGTTGGCAAATTCTTCTAAAAAAACCGTATATTCTTGAAAAAATAGAGACCATTTTTAATTACTTGTCAATAGGAAAGATTCATAGATACATAGAATCATAGACTGGTTTGGGTTGGAAGGGACCTTAAAGATCCTTTACAATCCTTTCAAACTTAAATAGGGTGTGATTTTCTTAATAGGAAAGGGATTCTTCTAATTGAATTTGAAAAGCTGCTCTGAGTGAACTACCTGGAATCATTAAAGTCAGTGGGGAGAAGTAAAAAATTGTATAATGCCAATCATCTGACCTGTGTTAGGTCTTGGAATGTTATGAGACACTAAATTCAGGCCCCAGCATGGGTATGGAGTAAATCCTCCTGGAAGCTGTGAAGAACAAGAAAGAATTAGGCAGAAACAGCCAGGGTGAATTCAGAAAGGGCTACTTTTGCCTCTCAGACTTGTCTTCGATGATGAGATGGCTGAGGGAGGGAAGAGCCTTCCATGGTCTCAGATATTGGTTATATTTGGTCTGGATTTGTGAACGATAAACTAGGAAGAAAATTAGCTGAAATTAGGTTCAGTGTGCAGAGATTATCAGGATGAAGTTCAACTGGCAGATGGTTACTAGTGGCTCAGAGGTCAGCCCTGGGATCAGTATTGCTTAATGACTTAATTAACAACCTGAATGTGTCAGGAATTGTCCTCAAAAAGGCAAGATAGATACCACAGAATTAAATGTTATGACAAGCTTGAAATTGGGCTGAAGGCTGGCTTTAAATTTGTAAACTACTGTTTTTTATGTGGGGTATAAACTGCAATAGATACAGAAGAAGAAAAGATAAGTGGTTTTCTGAAAAGGTGTTCAATTGAACGTAAATAATTAATTTTTTCATTCATTGTGTTTATTTAAGGTTGTTGTGAATGCACTCTTGGGAGCCATCCCCTCAATCTTGAACGTTATGCTCGTCTGTATAGTCTTCTGGCTCCTATTTAACATTGCAGGAGTAAAATTACTTGGAAAAAAATTTTCAAAATGCATACTCAAAAAAGGAAATATCAGTGTAATTGATAACAGACAAAACTGTACTTTCTATAATGGAACATGGACAAATAATGATGTGAACTTTGATAATGTTGGGATGGGATACTTGGCTCTTCTCCAAGTGGTAAGTTCTATAAAAAACTACTCAGTTTTGGTTTTTTCAATGTGTTGAGCAGCCCAACCATGGGACACCACTACACTTCTATCTATCTTACTGGAACTGGATTTTTTTTAGCTTCCATGGATATTTTTCTTATCTGCAAACTGCAGTTTCTTCTAAAGAATGCTTTAGCATGTGTGACCTTGTGTGAATATCAGGCACTGTGTTCCATGGCTTTTCAATTTTGTTTTAATTTTGACTAACATACTAAGCGTGAAACAGTCTGCATGTTATGAGAGGTAAAGTTATTCTCATTTTCTTTAGTAAAAATTAGTTCAGAGTGCATGAAAAAGAAAAAGCATGATGCAGTTTATTTATATTTCTATATTTTCTTTTATTATATAAGTCATGAAGTGTTGGGATGTTAACTTCTTGACCTCCCTAAGGAGGTCAAGAACAAAGAAAAGCATTTTTGGAAGTGTCTGTTATCCCTTTGTCTCTCCTAGATTAATTTCTTTGCCCTGTATCCTCCAAAGAGTTCTGTGATTCTGCAGAACTGTTGGAAATTACAGAAAGGAATCATCTGCTCTTTTCTTAGAAATTCCTTAGAAAATCCTTTTAGGAATATATTTGCTAGTTAAGATGACACTTTTACTGCTTTTTGAAAAAGCAAAGAATGTAAAATAATTTCAATTGAAGAAGAGTTAACATTAAAACACATTTCAAAGGATTCGTGGCATTTTTGTGGGGTTTTTTCTTTTTTTTTTCTTTTCAGGAAGTATTTCTTTTTCTCTTTACTGCACTCCAGTGAATCATACTTCTCAGTATCACTTTGGAAGTGATGCGCATTTTTATAGCACACTGATCACTTTTCCATAAATCTTAACACATTTATATTAGCTCTAACTATTTATTTATTTATATTTATTTTTGTGATAATAATCTTATCATGCATTTTTTTCAGGCAACTTTTAAAGGTTGGATGGATATTATGTATGCAGCAGTGGATTCACGTAAGGTAAGCCACTAAAATGAATTTTTAGTTCTTTCCCCTTTCCTTCTTTCCTTTTCTGTCCATGCAATTCATTTTTCAGCTTTGTTTGCAAGTCAGAAATACAAGTGGATGAATGCTTCAAACCACCCAGTGAAACAATAATCCATGGAATACCAAATATCTGGAACTTAGACAAAGGAAAACTGGTCAAAATAGAGTGACACCAGACAAAAACTTACTATATCAATAATGCAGAAGGCAAGATGTAGCAAGTTTTGGATGAGTCGCAGGAATAGAGTTCAGAATATCTTAGAGGGACTGTGCCTCTCAAGTGAATTTCCTTCTTTTTTTAAATGCATACACTAGCATTAAAAGAGCATTCATGTTTAGCAGCTATTTCTGGAGATTTTATTCCCTATATTTCACATCCTTTCTATTTCTTCCCCATTTCCTTATGTTGTTTTTTGTTCTCTCTGACCATTATAGTGTATTTTAACTTAATTTAACTTATGTTTTCTTTATTCATTCAAGACCTGTACTCATGAATGTCATGAAATAGTTGCTAATTAATAAGATCATGCCTTGTAGGGCTGATCACAGTCAGCTGGCTTTTTAAAACTGCTTCTTGTCTGGGATAGCATTCAAAAGGCTGGTGGTTCACCATCATGTCCAGTCTCAGCTGTTTTTCTAATCTAGGCATTCACAGTATCACTTGTGTCTGGAACTGTTTAGCTATTACTTAAGAATTTGCTGGAGCTAGATTTAGCATTATATCTTTGTTTTTAATTATCGTTATTACCAACAATAAGACAGAGCAAGACAGCAGTTCTACTTGTATATCTAAATAAAGGTTTAAATGTGTAGAAATAATTTATTCCTCCTGATAATAAAAGTTTTGTTATTAAAAATTGAGAAAGATAAAGCAGTGATTATCTGATTTTTACCAATATTATTTTTCTGCTTTGATTTTTTTAACAGATAGATGAACAGCCAAAGTTTGAAGCATTCTTAGCCATGTATATGTATTTTGTGATTTTCATTATTTTTGGATCTTTCTTCATGCTGAACCTTTTTATTGGAGTGGTAATCAGCAATTTTAACCAACAAAGGAAAAAGATAAGTACTAAATGAGTTATTTCAGGGTCTCTTCTAATCCTAATTTGATTAAGTGTATGCTGGATGTCTAACACTTTTGAATAACTTTTTGAATGGATAAAATTAAAATAATGATTAGATACCAAGTTTCAAAAATAGGAGTCCCATTTACCTGTAAATCTATTTTCAGGCCAGGTCCTTAATTTGTTCTAAATTGAAGGATGAGGAGGAAGGATTGGGTAGTTGTAGAAAAGAGAAGCCAGAAAATGTTACATAAACTTTGCTACAGGAGAGTGGAATTCTTTTCTTCTGCTTTCAAGATTAACTTTGGAGAACAAAATAACCCTTTTTGCAGAGATTATACTCCTAACAAAGGTGCTAAGGATAATCAAGAAACACTATTGCTCAGGGGAGAAGTAACCACGGCTTTCCTGGTAAAGAAACTTGAAAAGGTCTTGTTAATCAGAACTTCTTCTAAAACTGACTACATATAAAAAATCCTGTCATCAATAAAGTAACCCTACAGATTGATTCACTGTGATTCTTTTAAAATTTCTACATTGAGACCCAAGCCGTGGCCCCAGGAAGAAGCCATTTAGAAATGTAAAGGCTTCTTGAAGCCCATGAGGCACTGACTGCTTTCACTTTTCTCTTCATAGTTGCCAGATTCCCTGTTCTTTATTCAGTAAGAAATGGAAGGCAAAATCTTAGAATGGGAAATGCAACAACCAAAGAAAAGCAACAGGGAACCTTCCCTGGTACACTTCAGCTTCTTTGTGCCAAGGGCACTTTGTGTCAATTGAGTTCTCTCCCTGATTTATTTAGGGGCTTAAAATATCCAGAATATCAAGGGAAACTGATCCAATTCATCCACTTGGAAGTCAAAAAAATAAACATTTTGCTCATTAAAAAAATACCACAAAAGCAGGTCCCAACAGGAGGTTTACAGTTTCAAGATTCACATTTGGAAGACAGAACCTCTGCAGGAGCCATTTATTACTTCCATAGGCTGACTTACTCACTAAGTGTCAAAGAATTACTACCCTTGGGAGAGATAGATAGCAATAAGGCTCACAAGAAATTCTGCTCCCTGCATTTGAACAGGGAAAGGATATGTAGAGGTTGAGGAACAACAGTCCAACTTCACTGTAATAATTTCCTTTTATAACAAAGTCCCAGTTATAATAATCCCAACAGACAGAAACAGCATTGTGTAAGTAGCTTACTAGAAGCTGATGTGGACTTAACACTGTTTCTTTTCTCAATACATGCTGTAAGTGTGCATTTTTTTTTCCCCCTTTTCCATTTCTTTGCTGCTTCTTGGAGATTTTCACTGAGATTCCATATAGTGAAGTTAAATTGAATTTTCAGAGGTCTTGCCAGAGTGATTCGAAGTGCAGATTCCCTACTGAGCATTGTTACGTTTGTTTTATGAAATGCTAATCATTCCATGCTTTTATGATGAGTGCCTCTCCTGAATACTGGGTTCAAAGTGATTGCTAAGTAACACAGGTGACATAGATGCCAGTAAGATGAGCACCAGAAGTTTAATATCAGGAACCCACCACAGAACTTGGTCCCAAAGTGCTTATTCATAATCCTCCATTTACTTGCTCCCCAGCAGTATACTTCTGTTCCTACCTTTCCCAAAAATATAAATGGAAAGTATATTACTTGTGGATGAGCCTTATGTAACTTTAAAAATATGAAAGTGATCTGTCAAACTTTAGAAATGCTCTCACAGTTGAGGAAACTGGCTTGGGAACATTGCCTAGACGAGACTTATGTGATCAAACCCCGATCAGCTTTTTGCAGTATATCTTTTCAAAGAACAATGGGAAAAGGAGAAAAGGTGAACACATGTTTTGTCTCTGTGCTCTCTTAGATACCACTCATGACAGCTGTAAATTACCTTTTTTTTTTTTTACATAAACTTGCTGGTGTTTGCTCAGTTGACTGCTTAAACTTCAGCTGAACAACAGTATTCTTCCTCTTTACTTAGGTGGAAAAGATCTATTTTTGACTGAGGAACAGAAAAAGTACTATAATGCCCTAAAAAAACTTGGATCCAAGAAACCTCAGAAACCCATCCCAAGACCATTGGTGAGACCATTTGAAGCAGAATATGGTAGAGGATAAAAAGACTGTGACAATGTTTAAAACCAGCAGCCAGGCATCTGGAAATAATCTTTGTGGCATCCTACCATCTTCCTCGTTCAATGTAGCATTTACCGTTTACTCTCCTTTTCTTAATTCCATCTAATGCAGTCTTTCTTTGTGGGTGTTAATTTAAGGAAATTTACATCCTATTTATGACTTATTCAAAAGTACAATCTATTTTTGAAAACTCATATTATGTATTTGCTATTCATAACATGATCTTAGTTACTCAATTTGCATGATACTGCTTCTGCAACTAGACTGGATTATTGCAGGTGAGAATTAATAGTGAGCAGCACATGCCCCATGGCTGTTTTTTACTTTTAAATAATCTTATGCTTTATTTGTTATAGTTTCTTAAATTTCATTCTCGTCTTGGCCTCACATATTAACTACTCAGATTTTTTTCATGCTGATGACATTTTAATTAGAATTGCTTATCTTAAAATGTCTGCTTCAATAAGTCTTTCTATTAGAAGAGCAATCACAATGTATTCTGAATGTTTTCCTGCTGCACATTTTTTTCTAAGGAAATGTGGTTGCATGATACATGAGAATACTTAACCAAATACTGAGTGTTTTCTTTGAAGGTCTGAAGAACTCAACTAAAAATGCTTCTAGTAGCTTAACTGTGAAATTTATATTCTCTTAAATACTTTTTCTAAACAAAAATCAGTGATTAATATTTGAATGTAACCTGGGTCTTAGAAGTAGCATCAAACAGTTCTTCTCATTCTTTCTACAGAACGTGTTCCAAGGATTACTGTTCGACATAGTATCGCACAAAGCGTTTGACATTACCATTGTGACTTTCATCTGTCTAAATATGGTCGTTATGATGGCAGAAAATAGCCAGAACAGCAGCAAGGATGTTCTTAATAAAATCAACTTCTTTTTTGTGGCAGTATTTACTGGGGAATGTGTCATAAAAATACTAGCCCTAAGGCATTACTTCTTCACCAGTGGCTGGAACATATTTGATTTAACTGTTGTGGTCCTTTCACTAGTTAGTAAGTATCAATCATCATTAGATCAGGTAATGTGTCTTACCAATAGTAAGGCAAATTTCAGTATGAACTAACCACTTATGTATATCTGATAAACGAAATCCAGATCCATCGTATTTTTTTCAATCAATATGCTAAGTTATTCCTTCTGAAAGGATTTGGTTTTGTTTTCCCTTACATTTTTGCAGAGTACATGGATAGGGTTTTTTTTTTTTAGTATGATGTCTATTGAGTAATTAACACAACAGGAACTTAATGCAGTAACGTCTTTTCTAAGTTATCGTACTTGAACTGTTTGTCTTTAAAGTTTGTATGCTTTTGATTTACATGTAATCACATTAACTGTTTTTTTTTTAATAATAAAAGTAAATCCAGGTTAAAAATCCATTTGCATGACAAATGGGAAAGATATATTTAATTTTCCAGGACTTTCTTTTAAGAAGGTGGATCCTGAGGGCTGATTTAGAAAGCTCAGGAAAATTTAATGTCTCAGCACCATTCTAAATCTGGGCCACTATGTGTTTCTGTGAAAAGTCTTACTAAAATTGGTTTGTTTTGCTTTTCAAGTGAAGCTAGATGCTTATCATTTCCTCGACAAAGGGTGATGGCTTTAGTTTCTTGCACAGTTTATTTGGCCTGTGCTTCCTACTCAGGCTCAGGATTTATCAGAGAATAGTAGACGAGAAGAAGAGAACTCGGATCAGTTTTTCTTTCGTCCCTGAGAACATTACCCTTGCGCTACTCCATGCATCCCAGAAAAATGCTAACCTCTGAAGTCTTCTGTTTGTAATTGTTTACATGACTACTGTATTGATCAATGTACTCCTTACTCCGGTAATAGGGTGACAGAATGAGGTGTGAGGGAGAGCAAAACAAAAGACAGTTGTCCTTTATTTTCTTCTTGTTCTTCTCTGATCTCATTCAAGTACCAAGCATTAATGAAAGTCTCACATTTAGCATGTGGCTTAGGTCTGTAGAAGAAGCAGCAATCAGACAGCAGCTAGGAGTCAAGTCCCGCAGCTTCCAGCACAGGAGCTGCATGGATTCAGAGGGATTTTTTAAATACTCAAGCAATGCCTTATTTCATCCCCTGAATTAGAGAAATCCGTGAGGATGCAGTTTCCAAACTATACATCTTCTTGATCTCTTTTTACTAATTAAATGTATTACAACTTGTGTTTCTCTTCCTGAGCTCTTTTGTGAGCAATTGCAGTATTGATACTCATTTTGTTGAAAGTGATGTAATATGATCAATGTAACTTTCAACACATGAAGCACAGAATATAACAAAATGGAATTTCACTGATACGGCTTGACAACATTTTGTTTTCTTTTTCATTTCAAAGGTATTGGAATTTCTGAAGGATTTCGAACTTTGTTCTCTCCTACACTTTTGAGAATTTTTCGTTTGGCACGAATTGGCCGAATCCTGAGGTTAATTCGAAAAGCTAGAGGAATTCGAACACTTCTTTTTGCATTACTAATGTCTCTTCCTGCACTGTTCAACATTGGTCTTTTGCTTTTTCTGGTTATGTTCATTTATGCCATTGTGGGCATGACAAACTTTGCCTGTCTCGGCTGGGAAGGTGGGATTGATAACCTTTTCAATTTCCAAACCTTTGCTAACAGCATGCTCTGTCTCTTCCAAATCACAACATCAGCTGGCTGGGATGGTCTTTTGGTCCCTCTGTTAAAAGGGTCTGATTCCTGTGCTCCCAACTTAAATTTAACAGATGAACAGAAAAAAAATTGCACGAATAAAGGGGTCGGTATTTTATTTTTTGTAAGCTATGTCATTATATCGTTTCTCATTGTTGTAAATATGTACATAGCTGTCATTTTAGAGAACTTCAGTGTTGCCACCGAAGAAAGCACGGATCCTCTTTGTGAGGATGACTTTGATATGTTTTATGAGACCTGGGGAAAATTTGATCCTCAAGCAACACAGTTTATTGAATATTCTGCTCTTTCAGACTTTGCAGATGCTCTGGCAGAACCCTTACGCATTCCAAAGCCTAACAAAATTCAGCTCATATCCATGGACCTCCCTATAGTTAGTGGAGATAAGATTCACTGCTTGGATATCTTGCTTGCTTTCACTAAAAGGGTCTTGGGAGAATCTGGGGATTTGGATGGTCTTGAATTACAAATGGAAGAAAAATTTGTGGCTCCCAATCCATCTGAAGTTTCTTACAAGCCCATTACTACTACCCTTAAAAGGAAACAAGAGGAGGTGTCCGCTCTTGTTATTCAAAGGGCTTTCAGGAGGTATTTGACACTGCGTTCTTTTAAGAAGTCGTCTTTCTTATACCATCATAAACATTATAATAGCGCTGTCTTTGAAGGAGAAACACGTGAGAGGCAAAATCTTATTGTGTCAATGCGTAATGAAAATAATGGTAGGCAGCTAGATATGTCACGGACTACATCTTCCATATCTCTCCCTTTATTTTATGATGGTATTGCTGAAACAGATAGCGATAACATGGACACATAAGGTTACCCCAGGCTACAGCATTTTTGATTAAATCAATATCAGTTATTTTCAGATGGAGAAAATATTTTGAACCCAGAGCATAATACATTAAATTTAGAATTATGATGGCAAGCTTTAAGTATTGAGATTGTTCAATTTTGCAAATGCTCCTTAAAGCATTAAGATTTGAACATATGAACTATGTCATAAAAATTCGGGAAAAATCAAACCATACTTTTTTTCCTCAGCTATGGAAGTAGGTGAGTTAATTCTATACCTGTCATTTTTTGCATTATTTCATATTTCTGTGTTTACAGAAAAAATCTGTAAAAGTTCACTTGTTACTGTAATGTGCTATATAAGCACACATGACTGAAGAACAATGTGTACTGGTTTGAAAAATTGGTTATTGTAGCAAAATTAATTAATTACTGCATTTTCTGTAAAAGAGCTCACTCTGCACTTGTGTTTAATCAGCCACTAATTTCTTTGGTTTTTGGGTCCATCTTCCTCCTAGTGTCTTTGGATGGATTTGTTTATGCTTAAGAATTTGTGAGGTGTCTTTACACGTGCACCTAAATGCATTTAACGTATCACTCATGGATGTCTGTGCTTGAAAGCTGCGTATAACTTATCCTTTGTATCATTCAGTGTATAAAAATTATATTGATAATAGTTACCAAAATCAAAGGATGTTATGCAAGAGGTATTGTTTCCAGAAAAACTTAAGAATTATTGTACATAAAATTTCATTATTTACTTCATCTAAATGTCATAGAAAGTATTACTTAGTAATCTGAAAAGGAGTTCATGGTATATTTTACAAGTCAACATTCATTAAAGTTAGAGGAATTGGTTATTTCATTGGTTCTGGTAAACAAGCAAACAAACAAAACATGAACAACCTGTATTGATATTACTTTTACTGGGTTTTTTTTCAGTTTAGGTTGGTCAGGTGACGTGTCATGGTGGCCTCAGAACTACTAGTGAAATAGGACTGTTTTAGATTCTTCAATAAAGAGTTCAGATGCTTAACTCGTTTTTGTCTGTTTTGTGAGACGTCTGACTGGTTAAGTCACCAACCCAGGAGGTATTTTAAAGATGTGTGGATGGCGCTCAGGGACATGGTTTAGTGGTGGACTTGGCAGTGTTGGGTTAACGGTTGGACTTGATGGTCTTAAAGGGTTTTTTATCCAACCTAAAAGATTCTATGATCTTCAGTTTATTACCAGATATTTTCTGGTATTTGAGGGTTAGAACAACAGTTTTCTGTTGTTATTTTTCCAAAATAGCTACCTATTAGCACAATAGAACTGAAAATGTTTTACTTTTTACAGGGAATCACAGAAGATTTATTATTTTCAGACCACAAATATCAGGAACACTACGGTAATTATTCAACTTTTACTGTCTTTTGGCCGGTGCGATACTCTTAAAACATGACAGAGATAGTCAAGTCTAAGCTATTCGTAGGACAAATAAAGGCACATGAAAGCTGGGAGTTAAAGGGTTCAGATGCCGTAGGGTTGGAACTAGGTTTATTACTTGCAGGACCAGCTTCCATTCAGACAGAAAGTTGACAAAAGTCTGCAGACTTCTGGGGAAAACTTGGCAATTTGCACTCAATGTGCCCATGGTGCGTAGTGATGCTTTTTGAGGTGAAACCAGTCGTTCTGTTCGGTGTAGCAGGAATAGGCAGTTTCTGTGCAACGCTCGGACACCGTTAGATGGCAGCATTCACTGTGTTTTAGAATATAGCCAGTCCCACGTGAAACGTGTCCAATTCCTACACTTCAGCATGGTGGTGTTAATTGTAAGTAACTTAGAAAATAATGCCATAACTCTCTTCTGTACCCTCCCGGGCGCTCAAGCTAGCTGCCGTTCTCAGTAGGTGCTTGTTCACTGACTGTTCTGCTTTTTACGTTTGACAGACCTTAATGATCCTGAAAAAAACCTGTGTGCTTGGATCTTCCAAAGGGATAGTTTCAAGCATATTGCTACACGACTTTAGCAGGAAATGTTTGTTAGGAAAGAGGTAAGAGTGCTCTGTTCTTACATACTGGAAAAGAAGGAAAGACTGGAAAAGTCATATGAGATAATTTTAGGCACTAATAATATGTATAAAATGCCAATATTTTGTTTTAATTAATCTGATCTTTAACATTTTTAATTATGCTGTTCGAGTGCAACAGCAGGTGCTGTGCCCTGGCCCATAATTAGGGAGAATTCAAAGGTGAACACTTCATTTCCATTGTATTCTGGATAAAATCACACCTGGCACAAACACATCCTTAGTGATTATTTTTACCTCAGAAATGTACAAAACTGCCTCAATTCACCACAGTGCAAATTTAAAAGTCTCAGCAATTTTTTAGTATTTCTAAAGCATTAAAGTAGACAGCACACTACTTCAGGGTTGAAAGGAGAATGCTGATATCCAGGTGCTGTAGCTCCTTCATGCTACGATCGCCCCAAAGCCAATTCACCTGCTGAGGCAACGTAGAGCTTCTTAAGACTGTGTACAGTGATGAGTTAATGGCACTGAACAGGTGGAAATTTATGACAATTCTTGTATTTGGAACTGTGAATTCTTCCACGTAAAACCACCTTGACATTTGTGAACCTCATGAGGCGTGGTCAGGCATGCTTGGAATACAGAGGCAGAATATTCCCTTCTGTTTATGAAGTTGGATACTTAAATCAGAGAACAGTAAAACCAAAGGAATATTGGATGCCTCCAGTTAGGAAACACTGCGTGTAAATATCCTAATGAATTCCTGAGGACCTGCAATATCATACAGAGCAACACTGCTTCCTTCTTGATGGTGCAGAACACAATTATTACATTTCCATTTATCACTTTCCTGTGTAGAAATAGTTAGCAACTGACCACAGGTAATTAAGGGTTTTCTCTTAATTCGGTGATAGAATCCCTGAGAACAGGCTCCATAAAGGTTTTGTGGAACTGCTTTTACTTACTGGAGCCTTGCAATTACTGCTACCCTTGGAATGTTTGCACGATCCATAGTGTTTCTCCAGGACTCAAAGATGCCCTGTATGTAATAAAGTTACTCAAAAATAAATGTACCAGAAAGAGATTCTCATCATGGCATCTTTTCCTTGAAACTATCAAAGGTTATTGTTCTTGACAAGTATGTTGTCTGCAATGTCACTTTCCAAAGCCATCAGTGAGGCAAACATTTTGTCTCAACTTCAGAAATCCCTGCAACTTAGGTTATGAAAGAAAACATGCCAAAATACACTTTTCTAACTCATATTTAGAATGAAAGTTCCCATAAGAATAGCAGACCCAACTGTGGCAGGTCCAGGCAGAGGTCAGGATTATTCCTGGAGGTGATGGAGGTCTATCATGCTGAAATGGCGTAGAATGATTTTTTCAACATTTATGAAAAAAGTTACAAAGATGGAGGAATTGTGTTTAAATATTCCTGTTAACTGCTGCCAACTTATAGCAAGTCTGACTTAGACTTGCTTCAGCAGAGTTTTACAGGCTTACTTCCTGAAGTCTCCCTGTCTCGCTGCCAAGGAAAGGTTCTGCTGATTGCTTCGCAGAGATGAGCAATAAAGTGTGCCTGGCACATGCAGAGCTGCCCATCTCTTCTGCTCCTCCTGCTTTCAGTATGAACACCCTAGACCCTATCCCAGAGTGTCTGCTGATCAGTAACATCCATTCCAGCTAGTGGTCCCCTTCTGCTTTGGAGTTGCCTTGGAGATACCTCGGAGAAGTGAACAGATATATTGTAGTTACTGAGACCTAGTTCAGTAAGTATATTGCTGTCCTGGCAGGTAGGATCACAGAATATTTGCACAGGTCTCATTCCAGTGAGTCTTCTGTGTGGTTTACCAGCCTTCTCCCTTTTTACTGCTTAACATTAACTTAATGTACTGTCTGCTAAGTCTGTGTGCTGGAAGTCCATGCAAAGCCTGCCTGTGCAAACCAAAACTTATGTGCATGTTAACTAACTTGGCTCTTCTCTCCCTTCTCCTTTCTTCTCATGTGTGAATGAATCAGATGCTTTCCTCAGTTATTCCTAGGTTTGGATAACCCTTTTCAGTTTTAGTAACTTAACTGTTGCGGAATTCATAAATTAATAGTTATTAATATTTTTTAGTAGCATTATAACAGTCATTACCCAGCTTGCGTTTCGTGAATGCCAAGGATGATACAGAAATGTAACAGGAAATTAAGACTGGAGTATCAGTAACCCCATTTGCCAATTCACTTATTCCAATAGCTCATCAGAGATGCAAGATGAAGGTAAGAAAATGCAACAGATTGTGTTGACTAATCAAATAACAGCATGACAAACCTTCCTCTTTGGTCTCCCTAAGTGCCATCAATTTCTAGCAAGAAGAAGATACCCTGAAATGAGAGGAGTGTGTATCCAAGGGCCTGTAGTGACAGGACAAGGGGTAACAGGTTTAAATTGAAAGTGGGGAGGTTTAGATTAGATATCAGGAAGAAATTCTTCCTGGAGAGGGTGGTGAGGTACTGGAACAGGTTTCCCAGAGAAGCTGTGGATGCCCCATCCCTGGAAGTGTTCAAGGCCAGGCTGGATGAGGCTTGGAGCAACCTGGTCTAGTGGAAGGTGTCCCTGCCCATGGCAGGGGAGTTGGAACTAGATGATCTTTAAAGTCTCTTCCAACCCAATCCGTTCCATGATTCTATGATTCAGCACACCAGATAGTCCTTTCTCACCCAAACCTCACCTCTCCTCCCCATCTATTTCTATTCTCTTTTCCTGAACTACTATTTAATGTTCAAGGTTTCTTTTGTACCAGCTGCTTCCAAACAATCAATCTGACCTTTTAATTGTACCATTTCTTGTTCTCTCTATACAATAATGTGGCAAATTAGTGAAAATTAATGAGAGATTTATTACCTGTCCACCCCTGGGAACCAAAAGATGAGTCCTCTGTAACTTCTACATCATGTCAGATTTCTTTCTGAGAATTTCTTCAGTAATCCCATCCATTATAAATATTTGGATAAAGATACT